GTATACTTCCAACACTCCAGGCCTTCTCGTTCGTCCTCTGAAGTGCTACCCTACCTTCCACCGTGCATGCATGTCTCGATAGTTCCAGCCATTGCTAAGATTCACAGCCTGAATTCTCTCACACCGCAGTAAAACTGTCTTGGGACTTCAGAAAGCAAGGAGGCGAGGGCCCAGACAGACAGATAGACAGAAAGACACTGGGTTCAGCATTGTAACCCATGGAAAAGTGTTAAGTAGCTTCCAGCTGAGCTTAGCATCTAGGGCCTTCACTTCTGGTACAGGGCAGAGGCAGGCAAATCTCTGGGAGTTCCAAAAAGATGCTCTGCCTCAAACAACAAAATAAACAGATAGGCGGTAGAAGAGATCACGAACCATCGTCTTAAGAGGGAACTCCGAGTACACATAGAGGAAAGGCCACAGCGGCAGGCAGCACTGCAGGCCAATAGGAGGGAAGGGCCTCATCCTGCTAGCCAGTTGGCATCTGACTCTTGAACTCGAGTCTCAGCGCCGTGATTTTCCACTAAGGCCGCTGTGCAGACAGAGGCACAAATAGTGTATGTCACCAGGACAACGTCGAAGAGCCAACTGGGACATTATGCATCCTAGAGACACTGACACAAGTACAGTGTCATCAAAATCCATGAGCAGGGCCTGACAAGTGGGCACATGTCAGGACAGCTGAATCAAGGCACTGAGAAGCCGGACTTTGGAAATCACGCCATCCCAAAATGCCTTCCCTACTATTACATGTAATCATGACACAGGGCGTATAAGGGATCCAGAGACATACTTGGCCACATACAGAAATTCCCGAGGCCCTTTCATTACGAGATCTTTATTACCGCATGTACAACCAGAGTCTTGCCACACCGACATTTTGTCAAGCACACTGTGCTTAGAGGCAGTGCCCATTACCAGCCTGAGCAGGTGGCACTGTCCCTAAAGAGGGCAGAAGTGACACACAACATGGTAAGCGGCACATAAACACAAGGCTATCACGAACTCAAGCCCATGCACCCTGCCAGACTGTGGTCATGTCCCTTGTTAGCACTATAATCATGACACTCCAACAAGGAGCAGCTGCCGATGCTGGTACCTTCACCAGTGCGGCTACGTCATTCTCTGTGGTCAAACCCTGTGGTCGAGGCTTAAGTCCAGAACCCCAGGAATCCACACGCTGCCATCTCACCCAGCTCCTGCGCCTACTGCACTGCCAGCCATTTTCAGTGCTTATTTAAATGGGAACTACATGTAAACAAGTAGGGCAGGGACTAGATCACCATGACTTGTGTTCATTAATCTACTAAATGATATATAATCAGAAAGCCCACCAACATGAGGCTAGATAAAACACAGTATATATCCTTGAGAATTTTGCATGGCTATTAAAGGGTAAATAAACCAGGTATGGTGGCACACACCTTTAAGCACTTGGGAGGCACTTGGGAGGCAGAGGCAGGAGAATCAGCACAAATCTGAGGCCAGCCTGCGCTACACAGTGAGTTCCAGGCCAGTCTAGGCTATAGTAAGACTTTGTCTTAAAAGTCAATCAGTCATGGTGATCTAGCCCCTGCCCTGCCTATTTTTAAAAAAAAAAAAAAGTAGATATATGTATTAGAATGGCTGTGTACATGGATCTGAGCTTAAAAGACATTAAAGTCACAGTGAGTAAGATGGATCCACACACCAAACTGTTCAGAGCTGTGAATATGGTCATGGTAAATTAGAACAAGCCAAGCTAGCATATACTGCTGGGGTCTAGAAAGCGGCCTTAGGAGATGGGTGCACAATGTGAACAGAATAAGGGGCTTCAGAGCGCGCTTGGCATTCCCCAGGCCCTGACTGCAGTCCCAGGAGTCCCTGGGACAGGGAGTTTGGGAGACACAGGCTACTTGTAAATGTCTAATGCTTGATTGCAGTGCAGACTGCACAGGTGCACCCGCGTCCGTGGGAACGCATCACAAGCTAGCTCGTGGCAATTGCGTTTTTCTTCTTCAGAAAATTTGTTTAAATCATTATTTTATGGGCATGGCTGCTTTGCCTGAATGCATGTCTGTGCACCACGTGCATTGCCTGGTGCCCACAGAGGTCAGAAGAGGGCGTTGGATCCCCTGGAACTGGGGCTACAGAAGACTGTGAGGCACCATGTAGGTGCTGGTACTCAAACCTGGGTCCTCTGAGAGTAGTCAGTGCTCTAACCACTGAGCCATCTTTCTAGCCACGTCCCCCCAACACCCGTTTTAGTTTTTGTGCTGTGGCTCAAGCGCAGAGCCCTGCACATGCTGAGCGTCTTCTACACCCGTTTCTACAGGCACCAGGTTTTGCTCCAGCCATTCCCAGTCTTCAGCGTGAACCTGATACTTCAACCAATGCCTGCAACAGTGATTCCGTGTTTGATACCACGAACTTAGATGACAGAAAGAGCCAGCTCCCACAAGCTGTCCCTGACCTCCACATGCATGCCACAGCACCTCCCACACATGCTAAACATTTTTAAAATGTAAATAAACAATAAAACTATTTTGTAAGTATTGCCTATAGCACTAAGGGGGGGGGGGGATGCCTGAAAGAAAACTCACCTGAGACGAGAAGGTGGCTCAGTTTGGACAGCCTTTGCCTACCATTCATGAAGCCCTAGGTCCCATCCCCAGCACCACAGACACTGGGTGCAGTGAAGCACACCTGTAACCGCAGCACCCAGGAGTTGGAGGATATACGTCAAGACTGGCAGTGGCGGCTGCATAGCTGAGTCCAAGGCAGTTTGCACTACATGAGACCTTGTCTCAGAAAGGGTGCAGGGGACAGGGGCAGGGGAATGACTCTACAGGTAGAGTGCTTGCTGCTCTTGGGTCCCAATTCTAGCACCACATCGCCAAGCTCAAAACCACCTGGGATTCCAATTATAGGAGATCTGAAGTCTTCTTCTGGTCTCCGTGGGCAATGCAAACACACGGTACACAGAAACTTACAGGGTCTGTACATGCAAACGTGCGTGCACACAAACATATATGCATAAAAATAAGCAACTTCTTAAGGGGGAGAGCTTACTCAGGAGACACTAGGCTGTTGTTTTCCGAACTCTGTTTTTGAGACAGAGTTTCCACAGCCCAGGCTGACCCGAACTCCTCACCCTCCTGCTCCTCCCAAGTACTGGAATTACAGGCTCGTACCACCACACCCAACGTGAGACCCTGGCTGTACCCACTAACAGCTTTTTCTGCGACTGAATATATGTGTTCCTTGAACGGCTACACACTTAATAAAAATTAAAGGGGGGGGGGGGTAAGGCTCATGTGCTCTCTCTCCCCACAGTGGTTAACCAAGAGACACTTGGATAAGAGAAGGTTTGGGTACAAAGGTTTTCAGTGTAGAGGAAGCAAGCCCAGCCCCACCCTTGAGCAGGGGTCACTCGCGTTTCTCAACTAAGCCCGACTCCCCTGAAACTTCTAAGCCACTTGGCAGATGAACCTTGCCCACGTGTTCTGTGCAGAGTCACTAGATCTCTGGGGGTCTGGGCCAGACAAGGCTCCCACTGAACCCCACTTCAAATTCACAAAGGAAATCCCCCCCAACTACGCAAAAGAAAAGTTTCCCAACGCCCAGTTGCCAGCCCCAGGTCTTGAGAACTCAACATTCTGCATTAATGGACAGGCAACAGGTTGGGGGTGGACGGTGAAGAGAGCTGACAGTAACAGGACATCATACCTGGAAACACCCTGCACCGCTGCACAACCAGAAGGAAAAACCATCCCAGCACAAACACTCCAGCCAGCCTCCGGCTGTCTTTACTGGTTCAAGTCTGGAGGGCAGTCAAGCATCCCTCCCTCTACTTAGATGGACAGACGACAGCTGGTCTGGTCACATCCTCCCAAATACTGGGCCACAAACATGGAGAAGCAGCCTCCTCCACCTTCCAGCCAAGAGCTTGGGTTTCCAACAGCCTTCCCTTTCCTCCCCAGAACTAATTTTAGCCTCCTTGGTTCTCAGAGGTAGAACCGAAATAGTCTGCTGAGAAACACGTTTACAAACAAGAGCATTGGCTTAGCCTCACAAAACACCTCAGCTGTAGCCCAGAAAGTAGCCAGGGAGAGGTCGCATTGTCCAGCAGGCCAGGCCCCTCCAGAACATTCCCAAGGGAGGGGGGCCACAAACCTGCCCAGTGGGCCAGGCTTTCTCTCCAACCCCAGCACTCAGGAGTCACGTGTCCATGAATGAGAACGCCAGGCTGAGCTGTCAGTCCCCAAGAGGATCTGAAAACCGCATGTGTGCACACAGCAAGAGGGAAAGAGTGGGGGGGGGCACCCAAGGCCAGAAGCCATGATTAGTCTCATGCCAGGAGGAGGCACCCTTGACCCTGGGACGATCCAGTCCCCAAAACTGTCACAGATGGAGCTATTCTGCCGACCTTAAGGACTAGGTTGGAGGAAGGCAGCAGTGTCTCCCAAACCAAGAACCTGGGTACCCAGAAGCAGCTCCAGTGGGCCTGCCAGGAGCGGCCACCTCTGGGCTAGGGCGCATCTGTCAGTGCAGCCCACACTGAGTCGAAAAAGAAGCCAAGAATAAGGGGTGTCTGGCCCAAGCAAAACACTGGTGACGGCATGGGGGAGGGGCCCAACCCAAGAATTCTAGGAAAGCAACCACACCTTCATGGGGAGAGAAGCCTAGGTCTCACCTCGGCACACGCTTCGCAGGGTAATGTGGAACGCTTGAAAGGCTTGTGAGGCGGCTTGAACCCACCCTGCTGCCTACCAGAAAGCAGCTCCAAGCACAGTAAGCGCTTACTGAATGGAGTCAGAAAGGAATGCCCCCAATCCTCGGCAGAACTCTGCATAAAAAGGAGCCTGAAATGCGGCCCGGCCACAGGAGCTGCAGAGGCCAACATACAGGCCTCTGTGGAAGCCCACCATGCCTGTCACAGCTTATAGCACTACACCTTTCTGAGGCAAGGCTTGCCCACCACACACCTCCCAAGCCCAGTGGAAAAAAAGACAAGCCCATACCTTTGGGGCGAGGCTGCCCCCCTGCCCTGGCGTCCTGGGCCTGGTCGTTCCAGGCCCACAGCCGCTGCGGCTCCTCTGAGCGCCACAGGGCAGGCCCACTCGGGGGGAAGGGCATGCCAGGATCCTGCTACAACACCCTGGGCTCAGCAGACAGGTATAGCCTGGGTTCACCCAGCTCCCAGGTGAACAGAGAGGGGGTGTCGGGCAGGCGGAGCCCCAGCAACAGGCACTTCCTGACATTCTGTGCTTGCGGGAGGGAGAGGCAAGAGTGCCAGCCTCAAGGCAAAGGCCAGAGCAGGTGGGCGGGTGCAGACGGGCAAGCTGCCCGGCCACCCACAACGGGCCGCCTCCCTGAAACCCGAACCACTTCTGGGAAAACTCAAGGACGCCAGGATTCTCCTCAGTGGCAGCCAGTCCATTGGAACCATTGATTCTGAACCAAATGCACACTCCAACAGGCTTGGCTGAGCAGGAATGCCCTATGAGGGTGACCCCACTCCCTTCCCTGACTCCAGAGGGAGAATGACAAATGGCACTATTGAACCACGACCCCATCTCCTCCCACAACTGTCTACCCCCATAGAAGCTGGACATATTAGAGCACGGGTTCTCCACCGAACTAAGTATGATTTTGCCCCTACCACTTAGCGATGCCCAGAGTCATTTTCACATGCCATGTTCAGAGATGCGATACTGGAATCGGCCAGCAGAGGCCAGAGATGCAGCCAAGTAGGCATCTTCAATGTACAGGCCAGCCCCTTCACCACCGTCCCCACAGGTACAGATGTCCATAGTGAGTAAGGCTGGGAAACCCTGCTCTAGAAAGGCCCATGCAGCCTGGAATGTCCATCCAGGCTGTCTCCTAAGTGTGGTCAAGGGGACTGGGAGACAACTCAGCTGGTAATGCATGCCATACAGGCACAAGGACCATTCGAATACCAAGCACCCCATAAAGACCCAGGCAGTGTAGCAAGCATCTGTAATCCTAGCTTTAAGGGTGAGTTCCAGGGTCAGAGAGATCTCAGATCTAAAATGAAGCGGGGACCAACCAGTGAGATGTCTCTGCAGTAAAGCTTGCCTGCTGCCAAGCCCAACACCCAGAGTATGAGTCCCAGGACTCGCTGTAGAGAATTGACTTCCACAAGTTATCCTCTGACCCCCACATACGCACATGCCCACAAACTAAAACAAAATGCTTTTAAAAGACGGAAAAAAAAAAACAAGGGGAAGAATAATGTAAAAGTTTAATGGATATTTCTTGCCTTGACGTGCACCCACATGCACAGGCGCACACACGCATGCACAAGCTTGGGGGTATGGATAACTATGAATGAATCTGAATGGTCCAGATTTGCTCTTTTCCCTTCATCCACTGCATCCCAGGCCACGGTAACAGGTTAGCATCTGTGAGTGGCTCTGAACTCAGGCTCAGAAACCCTGTGGGTCCCATCTGCCCTACTGACTTCCCAAGTAGAGAGGCTAAGTACATAGGCACTCAGAGAGATGGCTTCCTGAATGGGGAAGAAACCAAGGAAACAGAGTGATGGGCAGAACCACAAGTAGCAGCAGTAAAAGCAAGGACATGTCCCAGACCGGAACAGGGGAAGCAGGGGTACTGAGAGAAATAATTCCAATGTACACAACCTCCTACGGACAGGCTGCCCCTCCGAGGGTTGGTTGCAGGGGAGTCAGGATTTTACGGATCCAGAAAGGGACCAGAACGGCACGCACACACACCTGTACAAGTACCCATGCAGGCACTGATTTATATTTTCTGTTCAGTTTTCTTAGATTCTCAGAGCAACATGGCAAAAAGCAATGGGTCCTCCAAGGGCTCCCTTAGGTAGCTGCCAGGGCAAGGGCAGAGGCTTGTAGGACTCTAGGTGCCAATAAGAGCAGCAGAGGACTACAAAAGTTCACCTAGATAGGACGCAGGCAAAGGGGTCTACGCTAAATTTTCACCCAGCTACAGGGTCTGCATGGACAACCTCTGAAAGCTGAGAAGGGTACCCACTCCTTACAAAGGGCATGCCCGCCTGATAGGCAAGTAGCATGAAATGACCACCAACAGGACAGAGAACAGGGGACATCCTCTCTGGGGAGGGACTTCCGTGACTCTAGCCTTGGCCTCTCCCACTACAATGGACCAGAAGACTAAAAGTTACTTTCATACAAGCCTCCACCCATGAGGAAATGGACAAGATAGAAACCTCTCTGTGTCAATGGTCAGTCTATATATAAGGATGCTTCGGGGCGGTGAGGACCCGACAGGAGCCTTCTTAGCACCTGGCTCCGGCTCTGCTCTGAGCCCCAACCACAGACACAGATGTCGAGAATAGAATGTGCAATGCTTGCTGCAATGTTTGCTGCAATGCACGAGCCAAATGCCAGGCACCCAAGGATGCAGGGGCCAGGCAGAGCTAGGAAGACTTCCAGAGGTACTGACTGGTAGGAACATCACTTCTGCCTTCCGTCTCAGCCTGTGCTGTCCGATAAGGCAGCGACTAGCCAAGTGTGCTAAGGAGAACCTGAAGTGTGCAAAGGTGGAATTGGCATGCTCACACCGTATTTTGAAGTTAAAGAAATCTTTCAAGTCTCTTTAACTGTTTTAATGGTGATTGTATGTTGAAATGATGAACCTTTAAATTAAATTAAGTCCACCAACTATGAAAAAGAGCAAGACTCTACCCCCAAATTCATATGGGAGGCCATAACCACCAATAATGGGACCTCGAGGAAGCAGGAAAGGTTGGGCTGGACCATGAGGGCGGAATCCTCACTGTAGGATTACAACTCTTAGGGTACACCTGACCGTCCCAGCACCCCGGTCTGGATTCTAGAACCAAGTGAAAATAAGCACTGTTGACTTTTAATTATATATTTAAGCATATATATCTATATATACATGGCTGTTTTAACTTTATTTATGAGTTACATCTGTAGTTATATCTGTGCACCATGTGTATACCTGGTGCTCTCAGAGGCCAGAGAGCATGGGACCCTGCTGGAAGAGGAGTCCCAGGTGGTTGTCATGAGTTACCATGTTGGTGTCAGGACTCTGCAAGAGCAGCAAGCACCCTTAACCACCCGGCTACCTCTCCAGCCCCAATACTGCTGCTTGAATCACAGTGTCCTGTGGTATTGGAGCAGCAAGAACACACTAAGACACAACGATTTCTCCTTCTTTTTACTAACGTGACTATTGTGAATTTTTAACTTAAATATACTTGTCCATGTTCCTAGGCCCCTAGAATGAGTATAGCACACTTCTCACCACGGCGCTGATCATTCTGAAGACAGAGCCATGAACATGAAGAAGAGACCGTTTTGAATCCAGGAAGGCCAGTTCTGCCCCACCAGGACCTGGGGAAGCTCTCTTTTAATTCCTCAAAAGACAGAGCAGTGGCCACTTTGAAGTGTGATAACAACAGGTGACTCTACCTTCCCCGAGGGAGGAAGCCAGATTCTGAGACAGAACAAATGCCTCGCCGGCATTCTGCTACGCACTCACTCGCCAAACAGTGCAAAAAGAAAGTAGACACAGGCCGGGGAACACCTCTTACCCTGCCCCAAGATGGGAGGTAGCTGATGAAGTCAAACTAGGACTAACTGGTGTCGTGATGTACAGATTCCGAGTCTGAGGCATACTGTCCTGAGAGCACACTTTCAACAGGCCTGGACTTGAAAGGGACAAGGCAGATCAGGAGTAGAAACCCAGGCGATCAAGAAGCAGCTCAGGGATTGCTATGTACCCTTGGATCAGTCCACAGCTGCCCTCCCCAAAGCAGGCAATGTTTTCCATCACTTCCACGCCTCCATTCTTGGGAAAAACGTGAAGAGCAACACTTCAGTGAATGGCAGAAAGAAACAATGTTCAACTTGAGCACACCGCTTGCTTCGCCTAGATCACCATCGAAACCGCTTCCCAACGGTGTGCTCCGGTGGCAAAAAAGTGGTCTCTGCCCTCCGGCTCGTGCACTCACGCTCCACCGCACCCAGAATTGTGCAAAAACTCTCAGGGTCGGAATTGCTAAGCGTCACTACCTTGCAATAAAAGGGAGCAGATTGAGGGTGGGGATCCCAGTGGGGAGTGCAATGGCCATCTGGGATACCCACCCCCGCAACAGCTTGGGGGGATCCCAGTCCCTCCCCTGCACTCCGGGCCCCGCCCCTCGCGGATTTCCCAGACTCCGCGCTGCTGCCACCTCGGGCGGCAGGGGACCCGAGCTGCATGTGTAATGGGGGCTGGGAACAAAGACGCGCAGGACCCAGAGCCCCGGCCACCGAGCACCAGCCATCCCAGTCACTACGATCTTTTCTTTGGAGTCTCAATGCCCGACTGTCCGCGTTTCCCAGAACTGCCCCAAGCCCGTCCCGGAGCTCCTACCAGAGTTGGGCATGCTTCAGCACCACCGGGACAGAGAAATCCGTGCCTGAGCTTTAGGGGCGAATGCGCTTTCCCAGCACAACTTCGCGCGCGCACACCCACACGTCCCGTCCCCAAGCAGACGCGCACCAGTCACCCTCAGCCCGCAGCTGCCTGCGGGCTGAACGCAGGTCACTCACGCCCGCCACGTGCCGGCCGGAGCGATCAGAGACCTGTTGGTTCGCCTCCTCAATCTCCTCTCCACTCCCAGTAGCCCAAAACAAAAGCGGTCCCACGAGGGCGCATCTGTAGCCCGCTGCTAGGAAAGCGGGTGCAGGTAGTAGCCACTTGCGCGAGGATCGCGACGCAGAGTGGCGGGACGGAGTGCAGAGGGCTCCAAACAGTCTGTGAAAAGCCATCCGCTTTGCTTTGCGACACTGGCTCTCAGGGGCGAGTAGCCCCATCCCAGCCACCCCCGATAATATGCCCCGCCAGCCTGGCCGCTTTCCTCAAGCTCAGGTTTCCCTTGCTCGATTCCTGGGGTCCGCGAGCCGGCGGAACCTGAGCCCCGACCCTGACGCCCCAGGTTCCCCCATCCTTGAGCGAATCCGCGAGCCAGAATCGTGCGGAGGAACCGCTCCGGCGAGCTTGTCTTTACGATCGCGAGCCAAGCGCCCCGCGCGACCCCGATCCCAGGCAGGTGGCGCGGCGCCGAGGCCGCGGGGCCGCCCTTTGTTGGTAAACACCGCGCGCCCTGGGTCCCCGCACCTCCGCGCCGCGCCGGGTCCTTACCGGCGCACAGCGGTCACCAGAGAAGGGCGAGGGCCGCCCAGGGCGCCGTCATGTTC